ATCTAAATATGTCATTAAAGTCTGAAGAACTCAATTCAATTTATTCTTGGTTCTAGTTTTCCCGTTTTCCTGCAGTGTACTCTCGATATCGATCGAGTTTGTTCATTTGCGGAAATAACTTTGACGATTTTGTGTTTCATTTCGGTTTTATTTTCCTTTTTTTTTTTTTTTTTTTTTTTTTTTTTTTGCGCACGAAGGTCGTGCGAGTTCGTTTCATTAAGAGGTGTGATGATGTTGATGACGACGAAAGAAGAGAGAGATTGATTTTGAAAATCGGCGCATGTCGACTCGAGGAAGCTTAATCCCAAAATCCAACTCTATACATCACTCCCCGCCTGACGAACAACAACCAACAGTCCCCTTATTTTTGAATATAAAACGAACTTTTATGTTTATGACTTACTTGAGTCATTTTCACACCCCGGCCATAATTTGTTATGGTCGCCGGATCAATCTGAATCTCAGTACCCCGACGAAACTCAATTGCCTACTTCAATGCTAAATACTTATTGCTCGAACATACTATATATCTCTGACCAATTTAGATCTGGTGGACGGCTTTGTCGGTGGCTTTGGGATTGGATGTGCGGGGCGATGTCATCAAGGGAGTGCCATGCATCAAGCGATACCATCAGCTGTTCTGTCCGACGGCCGGCAACAGCTATCCCATGTAAGTAACTATTGTTCTCCATACTTGGAGGAAAGGCATTTCCCTTGAAGCCCCAATAAAACTTTAATTATAACCACATTCCCTTGATTAACTCAATGATGTTTGCATTTCTGTGGTTTTCTTTTGCCTGACTTCTTCGCCAAAAATCTGATCTGAATCACATTTAATCCGGCTGACCGTTCTAAAGTGGCATAGTTAACGGTTCTCATTAGCATAGGCACGTAAAATTACTTTGAATTTCAACATGAGTCGAAAAAGTGTGACTTTTAGTGTTGTATCTATTCTAAAGTTCATTAACATCAAGCCCTAACACTTTCAGCTAAATAGATATATTTTAAATTAGTTAAACCATTTTTCCGAAAACTCAACTCATACATATTTATATTTATCACTGACCTTATCTTCTCACCTTTACGGTCTCACTCTAATTAATTTTTGCTTTATTAATTTTCCAAATGATTATTGATTTTCAAGATCAATCTGTCTGATGAATCACTTGCTTTGGCAAAGCATTTTGGCGGAAGAACTCATTTTGGGATATACTACATATTTGTTTATTTATATCATGATTGTAAAAAGCCTTTTTATGGCATGCATGTGGAGCCGTTGATTTATTAACATCGATCCATCAAATCCGAAGTTATTGCATTTTATTTTAATTAATTTATTGTATTCTATATTATATATTTTAAACTTTCGTTATTTTTATATCTTTTTTTTATAATCTTTACAATTATTTGTCTAATACAACTTTTTGATACATTTTAGTGATAAAATCGAACGATTCATAGACGACAACAAGGCATTGATGCGACGGATGTATGGAGACTTTGAGATGAATATGGAGGGTCCCGGCGGAGGAGGAGGACGACAACAAGCCAAGGTGCGCAAGCGTCGCTTCATCGACGAACCGGATATATTTATTCCGCCCGGAGCATTTGCTGCAAATGCTGGGGAAACCGTCGAAGCTGGTGATAGTTATTTCGGTCAACTCCGGAAAAAACGCCAAGCTGCTGGAGGGAATCGGAATAGAGGCGGAGCGGCCGGAGGGAGTGGCAACGGTAACTCGAATGCCAATAGACCACCGGGCAATGGAAATGGTAATTCGGGCACTGGAAGACTTGATGCCTGCGAGTCGAAGATTGAAATTGTCACACCCTATTGGGCATCGAATTCGGCGGGGAAAATCAGGGCCATTGTCAATACACAACATTTTGAACAGGCCATTCATCAGGAGGTGTGCAGGTTGGTACCATGATATAATAAGAAAATAAATTGGACCTGATTTAAAGTCAATAGATTTATATATGATTTATATAGAAGTCCCAAAACTTAATAATAATAAAATAAAAATTAAATTATTAAATTTTCTAATTAAATTTTTAATTAATTCCAGCAATACCCAAACTCCCCGTTGCGAGGGTGAATGTGGATGCGAGCAGAAGTACAAATGGCATCGTTTGCTCGCCTACGATCCCGACAACGATTGCAAGGGCATTTTTATGGATTGGTTCCTGTTTCCTTCGTGCTGTGTCTGTAGATGTAATCCCTAGATCACCTGACTCTGAGCAATTAATAAATATACAATTGATAAATGTAATTGAGACAAGTAATTGTAGGTAGAATGCCACTGAATGTATTTTAGTTGTTGTTAAGTAGTACCTAATCGGTAGCTCTAGTTAAGGTCGATTCTACATATTGTTAAGGTTTTATACGAGCCATATGTATATCTCTCAACTTTTCCGTCTTTCTTCCTCCATCAACATGCGATATTTCTCAACCTCCATTTTTTGTTGTACGGTAAATGTAATTGTAAACGTAATTGTAAAACGATTCAAGTGAATAAAGTCTTCGCAAATATAATTTACGAAATTTATGTTTCAGAACACTGTATATGTTTATGTTTCAGAACACTGTACACACGCAGTTCAATTAGCATTAGGGTACTAATTTAGAATATCAACATTATATGACATGAGCACCTCATGAAAATCATACAAATAACATGCGATTACTTATCTTATATGGTAAACCAATTTGACGATGTACAATAGTGTTTTTGCTTGGACTTTGAAATTTTTTGGAATATTCTGCTTTAAAACCAAATTTAAAATATTATATTAGGTAAAAATACCAATTCTCTCAATAATAAAACAGGTACAAGTTGATAAGTCAGTCAAATCCCATGATTTATTAGATTGCCATATGACCTAAGGGGAAACCCCAAAGCAATTATTGACTTTTTGATCGAATTCAACAATGAAGTTGTTAAAATTGGAATTCTATAGTTAACTGAGACAGTAAACAAACAAAGGTAAATAGCCTAACTTGTATAAAATCAGTTAAAAAAAAAAACAAAAAAATTATATTTGCATCGGCCGGGAATCGAACCCGGGCCGCCCGCGTGGCAGGCGAGCATTCTACCACTGAACCACCGATGCCTCATTGTGCAGTCACACCAAAGTCGCAAGTATCAACTTCATATTCGAAAAAGCTCATTGAAGAGCTTTTCGAAAACTTTCAACCTAGGGTAACGCAAAGAAACGCTGCAAACAAATTGAATGAGATATTTCATATCCTATTTATTTTATATTTTGAGTAATTGATTTTTTTTCCTTGTGGTTTGGTTTTTATAATATAACCAGAACACAATGAGCATATACAATTTTTGAGCTGCTTCATAAAGCGTTTATATGCGAAGGGTCATAAATTAACCAGCAGCTGAAGGGGTGCGGAGTGTGTGTATGAATGGGCACATTGCTACTAGTATTCCTCGTCCAGTCGGGGTCATAAAAACCCTTGCCCACCGAAACTGGCCCACTTCCCATGCCCGTCACGTATTCAATCACAGCAATGGCTACACAAAACTGCGCTATATCAAAAATTTCGGTCTATCGGTCGTGCGTGGTATACAAATGGGTCCATTTCATCGACACCACAGATATCCAGCCACATATCCCAGCAGCAGCGGAAAGGAGGACCATAACAATTGAGTGCTGGGCTCCAGTTAACGTTAACCAAAGTCGTAGCCCCGGTGACTGGGGCATTTATTGACGCCCGCAATGTCAACAATTGCAGCCATGACGACGGCAGTCGTAGCGGCAACAGCACTAACAACAACTTCAAGTTCTCGTTCTGGAGATACCCTGTTGTCTGCAGTCTAGCCTAACAAAAGCATTATAACATTCTAAGCAATGAACAATTAATTTAAAACATAATTGGTATTTTCATATACGATTAACAAGTCTGTTCTTAAAATCTAAAAATATTATTTTTTTAAATTTAAGGTGGCACAGCAAAGACAAAAAATCAATATTCTCTAACTCAATAGATGCCAAGTCAATAATAACTTTTGCAAGATTTTTGTGCTACAAGTACAATACAATTTATTTTAAATTTTTAATTTTTTGTAAACGTTCCATAATTTTTCAGGCATCTATGCGAATTCATTAAAAACATTCGAAAAAGGTGTAGACAACAATTATATTTTTTATTCTACATTTTGTTTACAAATGGAATATTTTATAAGTTTATTGTATTATTTTTAAGAATTTTTTTAAAATTTCCCAAAAGAAGCAACCAATTAACTAAAAGCGTTATTTAAAATTGAATTATTCCTATATGCAAAGAATATATGTATGCCTAATAGAATTAGCTAATTTTATTCAAAAATTGTTCTGTGATAGTGATGTTTTAAAATTTCTAAATAGAAAAATCTCATTTAATTAAGTTAAGTTAGAAGTTAAATACTAAAATTCCTTGTGACAGCTGTTACTCTCAACATGCCCCATTGCTGCCTAAGAACCCATTACCGCAATGACAAGAACAACCCACTAAAAACCCGCAGCGAGTTAACCATGAAAGTTACCCGAGCGAAACCATTTCGCCAGATGAAGCTGGCTGATTTGGGATGCTGCGAGTGCTGGGCGTACTGGGCGTATACGTATTATGATGATGACGCCCGAGAACAGGACAATAGAAATGCGAGGCCACATAAACACTATGGCACACAGCCACAGGCACAGCCTCATCCACAGCTACATGTAAACGAGTGTGTGGTGACAATGATATGGATGTTGTTGTTGATACTTTCGTTTGCTTTTCACGACGCTGCGCGCGCACTAAATGTGAAATGGGAAATAAGAGCTCGGCTTCGGAGACAGGACAAACCAAAGGCTAATTCGAATTCCCCATAGGGGCGTAGCGCATTCAGAGGGCGGCATATCCTATCCGGGCCGGAGCGGAAAGCGACGGCGGCGTCCTGGCGTCATCTCCAAATCTCGGCCAGTGCCGCAATTTTGGCTATAAATACAAATGTCGGCACGCAGCTTGGCTTAAACTTACATTGTTATCCTAGTTCACAACATCGCTCGAGGTCTCCTCAACTTTCCCGAACAAAACACATTCGCTACGTGACGTTGTTAATACGGAATCCTCCCACTCAACGCAGGACAACTCCGAAACTCCGTCGAACAACGAACAGAAACTGTGAGTCACAGCGGGCTGCAGGTGCAGATGTACCAGTTGCCATCGCTTCTGGTTTCAGTGTCAGTGTCATAATAATAAATTTCGAGCATTGTGTAATCCCCTTTCGATTGGGTAAACAAAAACCAAAGTGGCTCTGTTGCAGTTTTATTATTGCGCAGCCAAGAAATCGCGAATTAAATATAAATTGAATTTTTCGAAAGCGCCCTTTAAGGGGAGATATGAAAGAACATTTTTTTTTGTTAAGCGAAATTTTAGGAAGGGGAATAACGATTTATAATATTCAAGGAAAAAAGATTCTTTATCGTTTTTGTATTTTACTTTTTACTATTTAAAACAAATTTGTAATCTTGATTAAATGTATTAAATATAAATTCCGGTAAAAAACATTGAACGATTTAAGCAATGATAAGATATAAAATAAACATGTTCTGGTGGAAATTAAATAAAATCGTTGATTATTAAAAAAAAAAACATTAGGAAATAATATTAATTAAGAGTTGGTATTACAGGTTACATTGATCTGGATGCTCAAGACCAGACATATGAAACTTAATAATAGATTCCCGAGAGATAAGCACAAGCATCCTTTCATGATTTATGAGCACATTTATAGAAATCCCAATGGATAAATCTCCTCCAATCCACAGAAATAATTTATCTGTTACTCAATTCCCTGCAATCTGTGAGTCTGTGAGATGCATTTCTGGTTTGCCTTTATTCCCAGTGCGACCCCACCTCAAAAGCCATCACCATTGGCATGCCAATTACACATCCTGCAATTGTCTTCGTCTTTTGCGGGAGGCTCACACACTTGCCTCTCTCTTTACAGTCCCGGTGCCACGCCCATTCAACTGCAGACCCCAGAACGCCCCCCACCAGGACCACAATGAGTGTGCCAGGGAGTCAGGGGATAGGAAGTGGAATTGGACACAGGTGGCTCTTGGTTTGGATGACGGTGCTGCTCCTGGTCGTCCCACCGCATTTGGTCGATGGCCGTTACCTGCCGACAAGGTCGCATGGCGACGATTTGGACAAGTTGCGTGAACTGATGTTGCAGGTGAGCCAGTCAACACTGGGCGAAAAGGTGGGCTAAGCTATAAAAGAGGATTGATTTAAATATTCAATTTAAAAATATTTTAATTGTTTAATCATAATCAAAACTTAAGAAATTCAAAAGGGGCATTTGGAATTACTAGAGTGTTATTTAACATTAAAGATACATTTTCGATGCATTATCTATAATAAAACATTAGGAATTTCTTTATTTTTATATTTAAATCATTTGCAATTTACACAAAAAAGCTTGAATGTTAAACATTTACTGGATAAACCATTTCCAAATTTGGTTTACTCCATCTTAAAATACTTTTTTCACATTTATATTTTTGTATTATTATTTTAATAAAAATTTAAATGCAAGCCCAGTGTTTTAAAAATGTTTATTATGAATTTTTTTACTCAGTAAGATTTTAAGTTTTATATTTTTTCTGTAAAACTTATCTCTATTTAATTGCCCAGATGTCTTCATTAAGAATTGTGTAAATAATTACTTTTAAACGGTTATTACCATAATTAATGGAGTGTTGAATAATGCTGTTATCATTTCACATTTTATCATCAGCGCCTTAATGAATCTCCACCAAGTAAAAATGATCCATTATTGAGCATTTCTTCAGTGTATGTGAGTGAGTGTGCGATGAGTATCTTTAGTCGAGTTTTGTGCATTGGCATTTTTGGTGCGCTGTCAATATAATTAACTAAATGAAAAGAGAGCCAAAGCGTGGTATTAAGTTGCAATTATGTCGCCAATTATTGAGGTTTTATTTTCGACTTGTTTTTGTTTTCGTGCGTTTCTACCTTTTGGCTTTCTTGTTTTTTTGGTTTTTGTATTTTGGTGTTTTGTTTTTGGTCACTTATGGAGCGGAGTAGAGTGGAATTGAATGGCATGGAGGTTATGTCATCGTCTCGGGTATAAGGTTACACAGGTCCCTCGGCCACGGCCTCAGCCCCAATGATTCCACCGAAGATTCCTGCTAACCGCCAACAGCTCCCCTCTTCCCATCCCTTTCTTATTTCAATCTCCTGGCGCTGCGGTTTCTTGTGCGTCTGCAAACCATTTCAGAAATATTTTTACATATTTCGCAAGCGTTTCTTCTTTTTGACCCCCTTCTCCTCCCCCTTTAATGGAGGAGCCTGCTCGGCTACAATCGCCAACTTGGCCAACACTTGCATGCCGAGCTCCTCATCTTTTGCACAATTTTTGATTCGCCGCCACCGCTGCAGTTGTTGTTATTTAATGTGTTTTTTTTTCGGCACAGTTTCCTGTTCTTTTTCGCAATCAAGACACAAAAATGCGGCTCAACTAGGAGGGTAGGAATAAGGGGATCGGGGGTCACGAGGGGATCCGGCGAGGAAGCCCCACTTAACTGCCTGTGGATGTGCACAAATCCACCGCAGCTGCACGTCTGCGAAAACTTCAGCCTACAAAATGCTCAACTGCAACTGTTTGTCTACCATCGAATTGAGTATCTGTAGCAAACAATTTCTGCACTGGAACAAATCATATTAAATATGGTTAAAGACTTTATGAATATCTCAAAGGAAGCAAATTAAATGAGAAAATGTTAGGGGAATAAACGTGATGAACAAACTATTTACATTCACTTTAATTTTTAAATCTTTTATACAAATGATTAAAACATAATTTTTTTTTGTCAAAATTTAAGATAATAATAATTTTAAGAAAGAACATTTATTATACTTTTTTTAGTTAAGAATAGCAAAAATCTGTAGTCAATTCCTTTTTTTGTAATTTGCAATAATTAAGCTTCTCAAAGATATTAAAACTTCAAACATTTCGACAAAAAAATATTGTGATATTTAGTAATACTACGTTTTTGATTTACAATCCGAATATTCATCACTCACGTCGTAATAGACAGGACAAACTCATTAAGGGCAAAATTATAAAATTAGGAAAATATAAATCGCAAATTTCCGGTCTAGAATTCTAGGTCAAACTTTTTTCCTGAATGTAGCTCTCACCCCTTTGCAGACTCTTTTCTGAGTCATGGTCCCTGGAAATCGATAAGTCGCTGACGTGCGGCGCAGACAAAGACCAAAGACCAAAAACCAAGAGCAGACCATGTTTGGACAAAAAAGCGAGCACAAAAAATAAAGCACAGCAAAAAGATAGAGCCGAGTAAAAGAAAAGGGAAATCAAATGTCAAATAGCAAATAATGACGGTGACGTGGTCGCACTGCCGCTGATGAAGGTTGACTTGACTACGTCACTCTGAAGACAAGCGAGCGACGGGGGAAAAATAAGCAAAATGCGAAATGAAAACACTTGACACACAATAATGCATTGAACCTGAGAAGCTGAAAAACTGAGAGCAACAGAAGCATTAGAGACATGAGACAACATAACTTGGCCTTTAGCTTATTGCCTGCCTTCTGTAGGATGGATGTCAACAGGATGACACGAGACATCCCCTCGAACCTCCTTTTCCTTTTAGCCCGAGATGACAATGGAGTTGGAAGGAATTCCCAGAAGCAATTTGTGTTATAGAATGTGGAAAATGACAATTTCATAATGCTCTTGACTTATTAGAGATATATTGGATTATAATTGTGTCGCCTGAGGGGTTGCAAAATGCTACGTGGGCAAACTTTATAATTGTTTTAGGGGTTTCAAACTAATTTAAGGATGAACTTGAGCTTTTGATTCAATGTTAATTTAATAAAGAGATGAGAGGGCCTTAAACGTAATCCATTTGGCAGACAATTTAATGCGGTCAGAATCAAATTCAAATGGGTATGACAAAGTTACTTAAATGAATTAAATTTGTTAAGCTTCTTACACTTATTGGGAATTTGAACTACTTGTGGAATTTAAATTAAATTTCAGCTATCAGGAAAAAGTTGTAAGATTTTGTTTAACTAAATTTCCTTACGGGCAAATCCATCGATTTGTTTTTTATTGTTTAAATTTATTACTGTCTTTCAAATTAAACAACACAAATAATTGTTTGCCGTTTATACGTTACTTGAAGGTAAAATTTTTTTTTGTTTTATTTTTTACATTTTTACACTTATTATTTGAGTTTTACGCATATTTTGCCCGGATATAAGTTATTCTTTAAAAAGTATGTTTAACATGCCAGAAGTTCAGCGTTCACAACATTATGTCCAATTGATGCCAATTATTTTCAACATTCTTTATCCACTTGCCACAAATGTCTTCGATAACAAATCCCACCACTCATCAAGTGGCTCATTCCACTAAGCAGAAATTGCCGAACCCAAAACAACCCATCTTCAACACCCAGAGATTCTTCCTCGTATAAAACTCAACCCAAACGCAGCTGTTTATTTATAAAGTATCTGCCAACTCCCTTTCCCAATCGCCCAAAACAAAACAAATCCTGGTCAAAAGAGGAAAAGAGATCGATACTCGAAAATAGACAGAGATAGCTGGGAAAGGAAGAGGGGAGCCAAACAAAATCACATAACTTTTCACTTAACGACAACTCTCAAATTAAACTGTCCAAAGAGGCCTTAATGAAACGAAGGGAGATGAAACCCAGCTGGCACCACCCCTCAACCCCGGAAAATCCATCCCCCCAAGTCAACCAGATGCAATGCGATAACCATTCCAGAGTCATCATCACTTCCCTGAAGACATTTCGGTCATTAATGGCATTTAAGTCAAGGAAAGCGAAAGGAGGGAAATATTGCAAACTGTCCGAAGATAGAAAACACTTTTTGGCTTTTGGTTTTTTTTTTTTTTCAAAATTAGCAATAAAATAATTACTTGGCGCGAAATTGTTTTAGGTTTTTCGCCTCATTTGCTGTTGTTTGTGTTTGTTCACACATCATCAACACCGTTCGCCAAAACAGAAGACAAAAGATCAGCTCCCGAGGGGGGGGCGGATTACCATGGTAGCCAGAAAAGAGGTTGGCGGCTGATAATTACACGACAATACCCCCCATTAACACATTTTCAACTCATCAGAGCTCACAGCAACAGCGATGAGGAGCCAAAACTTGGCAGCCAAGTTAAGACGGCTCAAGACAGGTTAACCCATTTTGGGCGGCACATAATCCGGCTCTATGGATTTTTCAAATTTTTCAGATTCCAATGCTGTCTCAAATGGGATTTATCAGTTTTTTTGTTGGGAACGAAGAATTTAAAGCCATTTTAGTGTTCAAATTCTTTTGACATTAATTCTTTGAATTATCCCATATGTTTTGTAAAAGTTTATTATTTAAAAAAACTCAATAGTAAAATTAAATATGAATGTAAAATTCTTATTCAAAATATAAACGAATTTAAAAAAAATAGAAACATGGCAATGTTATTTTTAGCATATTTAGTTGGTTTATCCAATAGGCGACAGTAGATTTCAATTTTTGTTTTATTTAAAACTAAATTATTCCATCCTTAAAAATAAAAACAAAACATTCCTCGGGGCTAAATCAGTACCGAAAATATTTAAGCCAAAGTGAATAAAATTGGATTTACAAAGATTTTTCTCTGTGTGTACATAACATAAAATACTTTTCCTCAATTTCTTTGTTATTTAAATTTAAATAAATGCCTTAGACTTTAATTTAAGTTTAAAAATTTCGTTGAAATATACATTTTATCATGAACCAAGACATTTTAATTTTACAAAAATCTCAACCCTTCGTTCGCAATGGGTTAAGCCATGCAAACAACAGAAGCAGGCAGCCTCGTCGTTACAGATAAAGTTCATTCGATTTAATGATGCGCCAAAATTAAAATTAACGAAAAAAAGAAGATAAGTAAAACTCTGTGACGAACTTCCCACGTTGGATAAATAAGATTTCAACAGATTTTTGAAATAGCTCACAACCCATCATCACAAGTCGGCGGGGGGCCGAGTCGTGTTAACAACAGCAACTATACGATAATTATAACAACCATAACAACAGCTCGGAGTTTAAATCTTTCTCTGCCCGTCTTGCGTTTGCAGATTTTGGAGTTGAGCAATGAGGACCCACAGCAGCAGCAGCAGCAGCAGCAACAGCAACAGCAGCAACACCCACTGCTGCGTCTGCACAATGAGGCCACCAGCAGCAACAGTAACAGCAACAATCCACGCGTGTCCAACGGCAACTCAAATGCCGCCTGGCTGCAGAAGCTGAGTGCCATGGGTGCCCTGGATGAGTTGGGCGGAGATGGAGCCCAACGATTTGGACCCAACTATGGACGATACTAAGCCATCTGAACCGAGAACACCTGACGACAACAGCAGCAACTTTGACAAGGGAAACGGAAACTAGGGGCAGGGGGGGAAATCATGTTGCGATTGAAAATGTTTTTTGGGTCCGAAAAAAGGGATAGTAGTGTCGGAAATGTTCACAGGATTAAAATCCAATTGAAGCGAAAGCAAAGTGCGTGAAAATAGATGGGGCAAAGACCTCTTGTGGAAATCACTTTGAACTGGCTTGTGCCATTTTGAAATGCTTAAAAGGACACTCTGTAAAATCACTTTCATTCCCTTCAAATGCTAAACATTCTCAAAACTTATTTAATTTGTTAAAAACCCATTTAAAGCCATTGTATTACCTTTAGATCTTGTTAAGCCATCTAGATTAGATATGTATATTCCTAAATTACATTCACATATATTTGACTAAATTCACTTTTGAAGTTCACTCTGAGTTTTATGTAGGCCAATTATTAAATGTATTTTTGGTGAACCAACTATTCACGACTATTAGTTTGAAGTTAAAACTTTAAAATATTTAATTTTTTTGTGTTCATAAACAAAATTGTGTATTTGGAACATTATTCATAGCTTACGGTATGGAAAAAAAATGTAAAATGATACCCACATTTAAAATTTCAACATGGTTTCCACTTAACCCCAAACTGGAATCATTCTAAATACGAAAAGAAAAACTGAAAAGAAATTCAGAACAAACTGAAAATGGAAAACTTGAAAGGACAAAGGCAGTTCCTATGATAGAACAATAATTTTTAAAATCCTTTGGGTAAGCCCGAAGCGAAAAATGTACCTATATGTATGTACCTATGTGTTGTAGATCAACCCCGTCCCTCTGAAACAAAGCGAACTCTGAAAAAATACCCTTTTAATGGTGTAGACTAAGTGCGGATTTTCAACTTTTTTTTGCGCGGCCAAACCAGAGATAAAAATTAAAAGTACCATAAAATTGTAAATATTTTACCCCCAAAAAGCACTCCACTCCCGCCCCACGAACAATAATAACTGGAGTTTTAATGGGCCCCCAAGGCTGACCGGGGCATATGAAGATATATAGTTAATGTATTGTGTATTTATAAATTATACTACTCCCAACTAACCTCCACTAGCTGCGATGGCCTCCGCTGGAAGATGGGCCCAAGTTTAATGCGATTTCGGTTGAGACTTTATGGCCAACAACATGTCGAGGGAGATATACCTTTACTTATACCTATACACACTATTAAATTCGTATATATATATATAAATGTACATTTAATTGTTGTTAACTTACGTTATCGTTATTACTTATGATTCGCCGCAGAAGCAACAATAAAAGAAATCATTTTCAATGCAATATCCCTCTCTTAACGTTTTTAACTAGATCTCTGGACGGCGATACTGTCAAGCCTGTTATGTAACGTATGCAGAGTGTAACGCAACTTTACAACGGTCTCAGATTCATCTTCATCTTTTGGCTCAAATACTCGTACTTTTCACATCCATCTGCTTGAGGGCGCCGCCAGCCTAAAGATTCCCATCTATCTCAATTTACTTTCTCGTGCTTCAAGTGCAACTCTTGACAAATTAAACGCCGAAAAGTGGCACCCACCAGAAAGACACATCACATCTTCCCAAAAACCCATTCCAATCCAATCCAAACCAATCCAAGCCATTCCGAACCCATTTCCAATGTCAGTTCGAACCCCGTTAAGTACTTTTTACCCGCCAAGTGGCGTTTCTCGTTTTGTAAACGAAATCATAATTGTTTTCTTCGCTTGTTTTTGTTTTTTTTTTTTGTTTTTATGTAAATATAATATCATTTAAATGGTTCCGTCTGCCTTTGTTTTTGCCTGTTACATAAAGTCACAAGAGATACAATATAATAATTAGTATCTGTGCATGTGTATCCGAGGTGTAGATGGTGGCTGGGTTTTAAATGGTAGACTTTGGGGGGAACTGTGTTACTCGGTTGAGGCCACGGAGAAAGCAGAAAGATGAATGGGTGAATGCGACGCTGATTATATGGCTCAGAATCGCTGTGGCATGGCGAATTCATTAAGATCTGGCAATGTGCCATGCATAATTCGCACAATGTCTAGCAGAATGTATACCCCAGACGGGTGGTCTTCACAGAATGCATAATGTGATTGCGAGATTTCAGTTGCCTGAATTATGAGGTAGATTATTTTCAGTAGAAAATTCTCTGAGCGTTAAAGTCATAACAATTTGCTAAATGAGACGATTTAAAAATTATGTATACATATTTAATGTTATATTTTAGTATCCAATCTTTAGATATTTGCACTTTAATATGGGTTACTTTAAAAATCAGTTAGTTTTCTTAATATTGGATCGTGAAAATATATTTTTTATGATTTAAACTACTGTATGCAATTACTTTTACAACTCAATTATTCTTGTCTGCTTATGTATTCCTCTTTAAAAACAACTTTTACATTTTCTTCATCATTAAAATATATTATTTATGATACAAACCACTTTATGCAATAACCATAGTAACCAAATGGAATAGTTTACGTATCAAAGCTTTCCATAAAAGAAATTATGTTGCGTGGATAATTTAATTTTTAGTTTCTTAATTATTCCCAGACAAATTCTATTGGAATTTAAAATTTATTTTCCAAATGGAAATAACAGGTCAAGGGTTGCCCGAGAAAAGTATCTGGTAAATAATTGCATCGGAAAATCACGGAAAACTGCCCTAGGACGCGAAATAACCACAGATGAACCTGCACCTGTTCCACCTTCGTGAATTCAGCATAATTTACCGCGACCAACGAATGATGATGATGACGATGGTTTTGAATGTGAAAGATGAGCGTGGAAAATTAAGGAAATGCAATCTGTGGAGAGAGGAGCAAGTGCAGCCGCCGAAGATGAACAACAAAATCAACACAAGCTGCCATTTGGCTAACGGCATTATAAATGATGCCATCGTGGAAAAGTGACAGTCTCTGACTCTCCAGTTGAGTCTCCCAACTGTTGCAGGTTGCAGTTGCAATATTTTTGTTGTTGCTGCTGCTGCTGCCGCCGGGTATGTTGCTATTTGGTGTCGTCCCCCGTTTGGCGCCAGTGGCCACTGATTATGCCATTTCATCAAATTCCGGCAGCGATTGAGCAGGAGTGGCCACTAAATGCGACCAAGGATCGGTCGCAATCGATCCAAAAATGCTGATTGCCATTTATAGATTATGTGCATAAATCAGGGAAAAAGCAAGCTGTAGCTTTCGGGGGTTATGAACCATGGAAAAGTTGCAAAACATTTTGCCAATCATATTTTTTTCTATCACTCTTGTCTAACGCAAATTGTCATGGCCGGGGCGTAAATTATTAAATAAGAAAAACAACCCAAAAACAACAGTAAAACTTTGCAGAGGCAAAAAAAAAAACAAATTGAAGAAATTCAAAATATTGCAAAAACAACAACAACAGGCAACAAAAAAAACGAGGAGAAAAATTAAATAAAATGCTTATGGAGATGGGGCGACCCAACAAGAGCGTGAAGCTCATTATGAAGCTTCGTGGCCAAAACGCGGACAGCAATTACAAAGGCAACAAACCCAGTAACAACAATAACAGTAACAACAATAATAATAATAACAACAAGCCCAAGACAAGACAAGACAACGCAGCCGAAAAAACCCAAAGAAGCTGGCTTACAAAAGGCCGAAAGAGCATGAAGAAATGAAATAAAACCAACACCAGATTCAGTCCCAGTCCAGAGCACAAAGCTATCCCCATCCCCATCCCCAAATCCCCCATCCAAACCCATTCCCCGAATCGCCAGCTAAATGAGAGTGAATCCACATCCCATTGAAATTGAAAGTGAATCGTGCCACACGATCCGATTCAGAGTCCAGAGTTGGTTACGAGTCCACCGCGATTGAATCCTCCAAATGACCAAAATAACAATTTATACACATAAACCACATATATATAATAATGCAACCAGAAAAACAAAGGCGAGATAAGCAGGAAAGGCATTGAATTTTTTGGTAACCACTGCGAAAGAGAAATACTCTAAGGGTTATGCAATTAAGTACTGTACTGTAATTTCCTAATGACTATGTTCTAATTCTTAACAAACTACAAATGACATAATATAAAATACGTTATCATAATGTTTAACAACATTAGGGGAACCCATTTTTAAAACCTCAAAAGCTGTATTAAATTCTTTCGGTTATGGTAAATTTAGAACAATTTTTTTTTGTTATTGTTTTTTGCTTTTATATAATTGAAATTTATTTTTTTTCTTTTTAATAAATTAATTTTATATTTATTTAATTTTATAATTATGGCTCGGCAGATCAAGAAACGTGTTGTAGTTGTAATAATGTGATAATTCTTACACTAAGCAGTTAATTATTTTAAATACTCAGTACAATCTTTAATTTCAAGTAAATTATTAAACCCCTAAAATAAAACTTCTGTTTCAATCAGTTTTTGGGGGGTTTTCAGAAATAACTACCATATAAACATAATTAATGGACTTGCTGAAATTTCATGTCCCTGCCTCCAGCTTAATTACTAAAACAATTTACCTTTCAAGTTCCTTAATTTCCCCTTGAAAATAATCCTAGTTGGCCAACAAAAAAAATACACGACCACACATCAAAAAAAAAAAAATAAAAACACGAGAAAGAAGTAGTTAATCGATGAAGGAAAACCCAAAAAAGCCAAGAAATGGTCAGCAGAAGTTGCAGTTGCAGTCGGCGTCGCAGTCGTCTTCGCAGTCGCAGCTAGGAGCTGTTCAGCCTCTGTTTCCCCACCAGATGACTTGCCTGCCTGTGGTCTTGTTGTGGACTTGGCTTAAACATTTCAATTTCTTCATGGCTATATGCCGACGCCGCTCTTTGCCAACTGCTCAGCCAGCGTTTCCAGCGTTGCCATCGACTGCGGCAGCGGTCTTGGTCGTCGTCGTTGAATTTTACTTAATTTTTATTTCACGCGCTGCGCCGCTATAAAAGAAACTGCAACATTCGTTGTGGCATGCAGTAAGAGGTTCCGCGTCGAAGCAGCACCACATTACCAGTCACCACTAACCAGCAACCAGTAGCACCGAACCGCCTGGAGAAGTGACAAAACCCGAAACGGATATAGCCGAAAATAACCGCCCGAAAATGCAGTCCAGTTGTGTGGTATGGATCTTGTGGCCGGCCGAACTCCCAAGTTTTCGTGTCTAAACCAAATGGTGTTCTCCTCCGATCTCGTCCGCAGTTAGTGGTCGTCTTAGCCTTGGCTGCCCTGGTGGCCGCTCGTCCCGAGCCGCCTCGTGACTCGTACAGTGCTCCCCCCTCCAGCGGCTACCAGCCGAGTGGACCGAGTGGCGGTTACGGCGCCCCTGCGCCCCAGTACGGACCCCCCCAGCAGCCGCCGGTGGTGCACAAGCACGTCTACGTCCATGTCCCACCACCAGAGCCAGAGTACCAGGCACCCAGGTGAGTCCAAGGATCTGGTGTCTTTTCATCAGGAGCAATCACAAATCAAGAGTTAAACAAGTTATATCTTGAGATAGGGTTAAAACCCTTTACAGTTCTTAAGTTTAAAATCTCTTTGATAATAGGAAATTTTAGGTCTAATCCATTGCATCAGTATTTATCCTTTAAATGAATTCTTAAATTTCTAAATAATCATTAATATCTGTGTAGCAAAAGTATTGATTCTTCTGATATTTGATAGTATCGATTATCAAATTATTTGACTATACAAAAAAATACGTTGCAAAACTAATATCCTTTTCAAAAAGTAAGAAAATATAATTTTTTTGTTGAAATGTTTAGCAGCAAATGTGAGTATAAATGTTTTAGGAAAGAGTTCTTTTTTTATAAATACTATGAAATTGCTTAATGCTAAATTTAACATTTTTTTGCCGAAAAGCTTTAAATATATTAGATAACTTTGGCCTAGCCCAGTCCTCTTCAAACTGAATTCAAATTATTCACACCCCTTACCCATTTTTTTTTTCATCTCGCGTGTTGGTGAGCGGTTACAAATGATCTCGCTTTATTTGTCTTGTTCCACTTAAGTTTGGCAAAAAATGAAAGAAATCACATTGTTGTGTTATGAGTATATAATCCAATCCACTTATGCAGATTCTCTCACAATTCATCGTCGTGAACCAACTAGTGCCGCCAACTCCCAAAGATAATAACTAGACAAATGTTGCAAGACCCGACGCCAATCATCATATAATCCAGCTCGGGGCCCTTTTCCGCAGCTGTAGCCTCATTTCCAGGGTATTTGGAGGGTCGTTTTTAAGGAGGAAAACTTATTTAATACCTGAGAGAAAACGAAAGCCATCACACTTTTCTCTCCTTTCTCTGGCTCAAT